AAAAACTTAAAAATTTATACACATTAACATTCTGGTATATCCTAAAAGAACATATAAACACATGAATAAAAAAATGAATACAATATTAAAGTGAAATAAATTTTTCAATATACATTATAATCATAAGGATACACGTTGACAGTATAAAACATATTCTTGTGTATTATAAAAAACATTAGCAATGAGAAACAGTTTCAGTTTGCGTTTGAACTGAAACAAGTTCGCTTGATTTTTCAGTTCAGGAGGTAGAAAATTGAAAAAATATGTACCAGCGTATTTTGGAGACTTTTTACAGCTAGCAAAGGACAAAGGCTCGAGTCTAAATTCGTTTTTGCGTCGTGTATGGTAGTCATGATAATCACGATTCATCTTGAGGTTGTTTCTATTTTTATAAATATAGATTAGTAATTTATATAAATAAATTCCGGTGTACGTCAATATTTTATTGTCTCTGAATACATTCCTGCAAGAATCTCGAGGATTAATTTTGAAGATGAGGCGAACAATTCTTTTTTGTGCCATGAATACTCTATTGCTACTTGTGGCGAGACCGTACGTGATGATGTTATAGTTAATCGTGGAGTATACCAATGCATAGTACACTGACATGATTCCCTCTTCATTCAGGCAATTGATTAAGTTCCTAAGAGCAAAATATTGTCGATTCAGTTTCGAACAGATATAATTGATATTTTCGTCCCATCTAAGATTTTCATCCAATAATGTACCCAGGAACTTACAAGTGTTGCTTGGTGTGAGCGAGTACTTGTTTGTGTAGAAATTCTCAATGTCAAGTCGTTCTACAGATGGTCTGTGAAATTGCAATGTAACAGTTTTGGAATAGTTTATAATTAGTCTATTTTTATGACACCAGTTATTAAATTGATCTAAAACATTTTTTATTTTTGTGTTCAATTCGGCTTTGTCGACACTTGATACAATTATCGACGTGTCATCCGCGTACATAAATACTGTTCCATCAGTTATGTAGGCAGGAAGATCGTTGATGAACAACAAAAAAATCAGTGGTCCCAAGACACTTCCTTGTGGAACTCCTGTATCCACTAGGAATTCTCCTGATGTTTGGTCATTCACCTTGACTATCAGCTTCCGTCCATTTAAGAATGATTTTATCCAGTTCAGTATTGGTCCACGAAATCCTATCGTTGAAAGTTTCGATAAAATAAATTCATAATTCAGACAATCAAAAACACGTGACAAGTCAAAAAATAAGCCAACAATGTACTCCTCGTTTTCCATTTTTTCATAAACCATTTGTACAAAATCAGTAATAGCTGTTTCCGTTGAATGTTTTCCTCTGAAACCATGTTGGTTCGGGCTTAGAATATTATATTTCTCGAGAAATTCGTGTATCTTTCTGGATACTGCTTTTTCTAATATTTTTGATAAAATACTCAATAAGGCTATAGGCCTATAGTTCAAAATAGAAAGTCGATCGCCTTTTTTGAAGATTGGAGAAACAACTGACAACTTGAGACGACATGGAAATTCGCCCTTTTCTAGTGAAATATTCAAAATATGAGCAAGTATTGGAGCGATGACTGCGCTACATTTCTTTATTAAGAATACAGGCACTTCATCGATACCAGTTGATTTTTTGTTTTTCAAATGTATGATAATATTCTCTATCTCATTAGCAGTACAAGGTATGAACGCGAAAGAATTGCTTACCAATCGGTTTGAAGTTGTACAAGAACCAGATAGTTGATTTTCAAAGTGTGAGAGTAGCTGTTTGTTTACAATTGTTACAAAAAAGTTCCCAAAAATATTTGCTACTTCGAATTCGTTTGTGATTATTTCATGTTCATAGTTGAGCACTATATTTTGGCGATGTTTTGATTTATTGAGTCTTGAATTCACTATACTCCAAATTGTAGAACTTTTGTTAGATGATGAATTTATCATTTCTGAGTAATAGTTTTTTTTAGCTTTGACTATATTGGCATTGTATATTTTCTTAGCGATTTTATAATTTTCATTATAGGTAGGAGCTTCTTTGCGCAGGTCATTCAATTGCCTGAGCCGATTCGCCTCGATTTTAAGTGTGTTGGTGTACCAAGTATTTGATATTGTTGATTTCTGAATATTTGTACCAGCAGGAATCTTCGGAAAAGATGATTCGAATGCATAAGAGAAGTGGTCCCAAAATGATTCAAAACATTCATTTATTGTTGGAAGGTTGAGATCCGTCAGGATCAGATTTGACATAGTATATTCGAATTGACTAATATTTAAGTCAGTAAATTTCCTTTTGAAGCTATAGGAAATTTTCGAATTGCGCTTTTCTGCAGGAATTGAGAACTGAATAATCTGTGCCATATGATCCGATAAACATGGATCAACAATTTCAAATTTTATGTTATCTCTTGAGTTCGTTATTATATAATCGATCGCGGTGACGCTTTTGATATTACCTCTACATGCAATTCGTGTAGGAGTAGTGACGAGGGAATCGAGATCATGACATTCCAATATATCACAGAGAATTTTCTTGGGCATACTCTGTTCTAAATAATTTATATTCAAGTCTCCACAAATCAGAATGTTTTTGAACGAGTCAATTAGAATTCCAAGAATCTTGCAGAACTGAATGAAAAATAAATCCAAGTCACTATTTGGTGATCTATATATAACAGCAATACACGTATTTTTGTCGAATGAAATCGCAGAGCATTCGATAATTTGTTCAATAGAACAGCTTTTAATTGAGGGAATATCTTTGCAATCGATGATATGTTCTGTTCTGGAGTATATTACCACTCCACCATGACACTTTTTCATTCGACAATAGCTAGTAACTGCTTGATAGCCGCTGATTTTAATGTTATCGATATTTTCATAAGTTTGCCAATGTTCAGAAAGTAATAGGAAATCAGGATTATAATTCTCCAAAAATACATCCAGTTCATTTGATTTGTTAAAAATACTTTGGATGTTTAGATGAATAACCACAACAGAGTGTTTGTTATCCAAGCAAACTTGCTTCAGTTCAAAGCCTATATTGTCTCCTTCTCCTGCGGGGTTGATTTCATAAAATTTGAATTATTTCTGAACTGGTATCTATTTATCATGGCACCTTCTGGCCAGATTTTAGGGTTGTAAACTTCACGCACAAAATTTATTGGGAATGACACTATCATGGAACATGTTTTCTCATTTTTGTTTGGTTGTTCACACACAAATGGAATTTCTGGAGCTGTTTCAGAAAGGACTTTAGATAGTTGATCAGGGGAAGTCTCCGGGGACAGCCTGTATACATGCAGATGTCCTAGTTTTGGTATCGTCTTTACAGACGATACGTTTTTGTTAGTTCCAACAACTGGTTTCCTTATATTTCTAGAATATTGGCTGTTCGTTGTATTGTTTTTATACTGTACCGATTCCATGGCCTTTTTTGTGGCATGATTCACTTCGTCTAGGTTGAATGTATGATGGTTTTTGTCATTCGAACTTCGATGATCTGTTTTGCTGGTTTTGTTTTTGTAGCTGACTAGATTCCAATCAGATGAATCCTTCGTTTTTGAAACTGTTGTAGAAGGCGAAATTAGTGTCGGAGGTAGTATTTTTGGTGATACGGAACCTTTATCTATAACAGAGGTTTGTTTTGATTCCCTCGTGTTAGATGGTGCTGTTGGATTCGCCAATTTGGTACTGAATGCATTATGTGGATGCATGTTCCGACTATCCTGTTTCAGCAGGGTTATGATGCATTCTAAATCAGAGATCCGTTTTTCCAGTATAGTAACTTTGTCTTGTAGATAGATGTTTTCACTAGTTATCTTATCCTTTTGGTAGAACACTCTGATACACTGGCGATTTTCGCAATTCTCACTAAGTTCATTATTTGTATTCGAATGATGTGGGCGATGTTTAATGAATTTGCACAGTACATCACTATTCACACCGTCTGGTAACTTATTGTTCAAAATTAATTCAATTAAATCCGCTTTCCGCAATTTATCGAGCTCGCGATTGACCGACACGTCCACTCCGACGGCCATCGTATCTGGCTTTCTTGTTTCTTAAATACGTAGAATACTGTGAAATATTGAAATCACCTAAGATGAGGACATTACTAGTGCTGAGACAATCTAATGATTCAAGAGCATGAAATAGTTCTTCAAAATGTTCGAGAGATACTTTTGGAGATACATAGACATTGATTACAAAAAGGGACCCTGAGTCACATGTCACTTGAACTGCAACTATATCAATACTAGCTGATAGATTTCGGAATGGTCTTGAATTCAGATCAAAGGTAGATGATATAAAAATGTTGTTAACTCCAATGAGAACGCCACCACCTCTGGTGCAGTTAGTAGCGAACATGTCACGATCAGAACGATAAACGAAGAATGTGTCTGGAAATATTTCATTGTTTGATATTGATACATCTAGCCATGTTTCTGTCAGGGCGATTAGAGAGAAATGTGATTGGTAAATGGAACTCAAGATGTCAGTTGTTTTGTCCTCAGACCTCTGACATTCTGATAATATATAGAGACATTTTGCAAAAGAGAGTTATTTACTTGAGAGACACCAATTGAGACACCAGTCTTCAACTGCTATTGAGATCCGAGCAAATTTCTCCTCAAACTATCACAGGCTGTTTTATACGCAGCGCATTTATCTTTCTCCCAGACAATGTGATTTGTAGCAATACTAGAATTATTTAACTTCAGACAATTTGAACAGCTATGATCTTTAAATTTACAGTCTTTCAGGTCGTGATTACCACCACACAGAGGACATGACAGGGCATTTTGGCACGTACTGGAGGAATGATTATATTGATTGCATTTGAAACAACGATGTACTTTGATTGCATCATAAACAATGCAACTATCATAACCGACAAATAAATTTCCAGCCTTAATAACCCTCTCATATGAACCTCTGTCTAACTGAATCACTGCTTGGAATACATTATTATTTTTTTTTCAGTGGGTTGATTTCGATTACAAACTTCTAATTTGCAGGTGAAGAAGTTGGTCACAAAGGTAGTGACCAGAGACTCGTTGCACTACAGGAAACTGACCGACAAGGCGAAAGATGAGGAACCGACGACCGCGTCGGAGGACGCCGAGGCGGCGGAGGAGCGCACGCGTCAGCTGGCGCAGGGCAACAGGTGGATGTTGCCGGTGTTCAAAGTGGGCGGCGGCCAGACGACGGCCGGTCAAGAGGGCGGCGACGCTCTCAAGGACGGTGAGTGAATATTGAAAAGGAACATTCTCAGATATATTTATGAACACAAAAAAAAGGATATACAGGGTGTTTCGAAATTCGACCGACAACGCTTGACAGGTGATAGCCCTCGTGATTTAATAATCACTGAGATAGGGACAGACGGTCTTGAAGTGTTCAGTTCTCGAGATATAGGGCGTTGAAGTTGAGAAATTAAAATAGTTTTTTCTCGATATCTCATGAAAAATTGAATTAAATGCATTCAAATTCGGTATATGGTTTGATCTTCCAATGGTTAATTTTTTGACCAGAAAGACATTCCGAGAATTTTATCCAGAGGTGCGCTACAGAGGGTTGTGATAACTTTTCCGCACATATTTTCTACGCCACTGATGAAATTTCAATTATTTCTAATTTCTCGAATTGATTGTTCAATTATGTTGAAAAAGTGCATCACCTTCAACTAAGCTAAAATGAACAGTTATCGAGATATTTGACCCAAAATAGAAGTTTGCATAGTAATTTTTCATCTTCCTCAGTATTAGAAAATTACGAACATTTTTGTTCTCTCTTTATGCGTGGAATAACTATTTCTGTTCAGCTATAGCATGAGATCTGAATAGTATCTAATCTACTCAACACCAGAAAAATATTTTTGCAATTTTCTACTACTGAAAATGATGAAATATTACTATGCAATCTTCTATTTTGGGTCGAATATCTCGAAAACTGTTTATTTCAGCTCAGTTGAAGGTGATGCATTTTCTGAACAAAATTGAACAATGAATTCGAGGAATTGGAAATAATCGAAATTCAATCAGTGGCGTAGAAAATATGGAAGGAAAAAATGCCACAACCCCCTGTAGGGCACCACTGGACAAAATGTCCGGAATGGCTTCCAGGTCAAAAAATGGCCCATTCAAAGATGAAACCATATACCGAAGTTGAATGCATTATATTCAATTATTCTTGAGATATTGCGAAACAACTATTTTCATTTCTCAACTTCAACGCCCTGTATCTCGAGAACTGAATACTTGAAGACCGAATGTTCCTATCTCAATGATTATGAAATCACGAGGGCTATCACCTGTCAAACGTTGTCGGTCGAATTTCGAAACACCCTGTATATTCAAAGAAATACACTGAGAATTCGCATTCTCCATGTGATGAAAATATCAATTCTTTCTCGGTTTATTCAACAGCAAACAACTACTTTCCTGGCTATATGGCCAGCGTGGTCACCTGATCTCTCTCCACTGGAATATAATTCTTTCAGGACTAAGATAAGAAGACAGGACATCTCTCGAGCAATTCAGAATCTGACTTCTAGCTCATTGCGTCGTTCCTAATTCCAAACCATAGTTTTCAAGTAGATGAGCTTGACGAAAATGTGAACGTTCCAGATCAAAATTTAAATAAACTGTCGAAATTTCCGAAGCACTCTGCAATATCGTCTTTTTCCCAATTTTTATCAACAGGAAAGATTTGATCATATCTTGTGATACATAATTGTAATAAAAAAAAGACTTTTCAAAAATGCAAAACTCCAATATGGCGCCCATGAGAAAAAACAAAGTTGTGTGTTGTAACTTTGGCATTAAGATCGTCATGGAAAATACGAAGACAAATTCAGATTTCTTGTAAAAGAGTGCCTTAAGAATGTCCCAGTCATGAACGTCTAGGTTTTTTTGGTTTCCGCTTGAAAAAATGAAAAAGAAAATTATAAATTCTCGTTTTATTCCAATAATTCAAAAACTAAAAAGGACACCTCAAATTTTCTTGCAGATAAATGTTCAGCATGAAAATGCGCAACTTTGTCCTAATTTAACCAACCTCGTATCTCTTATAATAACTGAGATCCCCATGGTGGAGCTCGAAAAACGGACACCCTGTAGTTTAAAAAACTGCAAAAAATGCGAAAATTTCGCTGTTTTTTGCGAATATCTCGGAACGCTCCTGGAAATTTTGTTTGCAAACTCAAATTCTGATTCAGCACTCCCAAAAACATATAAAACCGCAGAAAAACCGACTACAGTGCAGACTCGATAATCCGAACTAATAAAAACAAAGGCGATTCGGATTACCAAAAAATTCGGATTACCGAAGCAGTTTTTTTTTTAAATTTTTTATTACGGAATGCAAAAAAAACATAAATACGAAAAAGTAACACTAAAATATGTATAAAAGTAAGAATATAATACTAGTTTCTAAAGTAATTTGTAATTTTTGTTTGCTTAGCACATCTTTGATTATTTATAAAGGCCATTTCTTTTAATCTTTGAAGTACAAGAACATCATTTAACGGAATATTATTTTCTTCCTTGCGTAATGTGAATCCCAGATACTAACAAAAGAACAATTAGGGGAATCCCCGAACATTTCACTCACAATTTCTATAGGAAATAAATAGGCCTAAAGGTATAGGTTCGGATTATTGAGTACTATGAAATTCGGATTATAGAGTACTCAATGTATTAAAAATGCTTGTTCGGACTACTGAAGAATTCGGATTATTGAACGTTCGGATTATCGAGTCTGCACTGTATTTGAATTTTTTTATACCAGAAGATTTTTATCGTTACTGTTTTACTACAGTATACACCCTTACGGAAAACAGTTATTTCACTTAGTGTCGGAACGTCTGATGTTGGTGTCCACAAGTTTTATTTTTTGACAGACCAGTGCGCATACCACCACGCACAGACTTGCGCGTTTCGGGCTTGGACGAGCCAATGATGACTCGCTCGTCATCACTGATGAATGCTGTGAAGTCCCTGAATTTTATGTGAACAGGTCCGGCTTCAAATAAATAAATAGCCTATCTACGCAATTACCACTATGAATACGAATCATAAAAACATTGAAATTCAGATTTAAACATCAGGGTTTATACCACACTGTGTTTATACTATGATAATGAATAAATAATGTTGATGGATAACAAATAGATCATAGATGTCTGTGGATATACTTTTTCTTACTTTGGCTCATCTTTTGGAAATCTGAAGATACTTTAACTGCAATCTGCCCTACTATTTGTGCTACAAATGAAACAATAGGCAGCCATCATCTTCTAATAATAAACAGCTCTATGAACAGTAATATCAATAGCACTCGAAAGTGAAACGGATCACCAGAAGCTGTGAAAAATCAGTGACCTCACATGTAAAGTTAATGAAGCACAATAATTATACTAGCAATCGGAAATAAGTGGTTCACAAAACAATACTAGACACAATGAATAAATCGTGATACTCATGGTTTCTATCACAGAATGAATCATAATAGTTATTTATGTATCAAGGGCGTAAAGTAGGCGTTTATGGCATGCGGCGTGAATAATGACCCGATGGCGTTAGCCGAGGGCCATTATACGCTGAAGGCTATAAACGCATTTCACGCACGTGATACATACAAAATTTAATGCACTAGTAGTTTATTTTCTGACTCAAAAGTAATGATCATAGATTTCGATAAACTAATACTTCCCCGAATTTGTTATGTATAAATTCAGTAATCAAGAGAAGCGTAATGTTCATGGATGATTTACATATAAAAATTATCGTACGAATATTGTGATTATTCTAATAGTAAAACTCTTTGATCTCTAGAAGAAATTCATTCTTTAGAATTTTACCTACCAAATTTTTGACGTTGTCAAGCAAGCTGATGGTTGTTGTCTATAGCAATACATACAATGAACAAGCTGAATTGTCATTCTTTGACTGAAAAGTGAAAATTAGTGATAATAATGAAGCGAGACTATATGGAACCGGATAAAAAAGAAGTTTATGATATACCGCTGGATATAACAGAATCAGCGGAAAATGTAAAGCTCGAATTACTACCAGCAAAGTCAAAGAAATTAAATGGAAGGACGCATGATGAATTTATCAGATGAGGTGATGAAAATAATGTTAATATGATCACAGAATATGTACTACTAGCATATTCTTTTGAGAAATCTAAGGATCGTAAACCGTCCTCTGTGAATTACTATTTGGATATAAGGAAACTGAGAACAGCGGGCGGTGAAGTGCACTTTACGGCCCGCTAGTGCATAATAGTATATTATGTAACAAGTGTTATAAACGTCCTTTTAGTAACGAGTAGTTTAAGCACGAGCGGAGCAGAGCGGAGCGAGTGTTTAATAAACGAGTGTCTAGAAGAGTTTATAAACGCGTTACATACTATGTTTTTTCTACGAACTCCGAAAATTACATCAACATACCTGCTATTCCTGCTAACCTACAAAATAATTCCGAAAGAAATGGGAATTGAGAACATAATACATGCAACTGCAAGCAACCAGCGAGACACGTATATGTGCTATTGGTTGTAGATGTATCCGGTCCATTGCATGCGCTAACCTTTGTTTTACATTTATCGTCATGCTGAGCGCAGAATGAATGAATTGTTCTCAAAGATGGATGCTTCATTTTTACACTTCTTGGTACCAAGTACCAAAATATTCTGTTCGATTTCACTTTCGTCTACATTGCGCAAATATTTTCAATGAAGAATTCAGATACAAACGAAAATTGTTAGAATTGACAGGCCAGACATGTCTCAAATTACTGAAGCTGTGTTTAATGAACTGTGTTGCCATGGTAATGTGTTTAAGAAATCGTGTTGCCATGGTAACGTGTTTAATATTATGAATAAATCACAGATCGTCAATCCGTGATTAATGGATCATTTAGCGTGGTACATATCCGTACGCTAAATGCCATTTTAGTTATGTGAGTAAAAAAAGGTATTAAAATCAAAGAAGTGTAATCAAATCACCTGCCTTGATAGCTGAGCAACTGCGCATACTAGCCACGAGTGGACATGAGCACTGCGATTTTTAGGACACGAAAAGTGCTGACAGATATTACTGTTTTCCGTAAGGGTGTATACTGTGGTTTCACTGATCTACAACCCTGTTTTTTCTTCTCAGGTTTCGTGCGGTACCGAGGCTCTCTCGTCGACGTTGCCAAACTGATGTCGAAGCTCGAACGCAGCGAGAAGGCCCTATCGGAGACAGAGACGCGGCTGGTCGAGCTGAAGCAGGACAACCGGCGGCTGGCCGAGAAGCACGTCAAGACGAATACGTCGATCCGCACCGTCAACTCGGAGCTGCGCGAGCTCAAGGACAAGCTGCGCGCCACGGAGGATGTGCTTGAGAAGACGGCTGTGAGTGATTGTTTTTTTTTTGTTTTTTTTTTTCATTATTCCAGATTTTTTGGGATTTTCTCTCCTTATCTCTAAAAATATAAATACTTTTTCAATATACGTGTAGTAACATGGACGTATAAAAAAGGAGGACACAGCAACTCTATACTTCCAGCATATAATGTTTTGAAGTCTTAGAAATGTAGGCAAGCGGGTTGAGGGGAAGGAAAACGGTAACGATAGACTGTGCTCAAACGACAGCGGCGTGCGAAAATGAATTATATTGATAGTGAATTTCGGAGTCCAAAATGCAAAGAGCAACTAAAAACTGAATACCAATCACAATATGACCGTTTATCAATCCGGGTCGCTATGGGTTATACCTCGGGTTATACCAAGTGAACATATAACAAATACAGTTTTGTGTTTTCACATATTGAATAATGGATTTTATATAACTGTGGTGTGATTATGGTAATAGATTATTCAAATAATGATATTTTGGTACTATTTAAGGAATCATTGAAAGTTCTGTATCTTTTTCCATATGGTCACACCAACAAACCAACTATAAAGAGTGTCCCGAAATTGCTGGGACAGAGAACTACCACGTGTAATGAGGTCAAAATAAATTTATATACACTATGTTATCTATTATTTTCACTTCTTCATTCACCACTTTTTTGACCCCCTGAAGAACGACTTTTTCTCTGATTAATTGATGATCACTCAATCCGATCAATTTGGGAATCTAATTGATAACGATGCAGATGCAAAATACAATCAACTTTATCCTCATTCATAGCTATCAGTTTATGAAAATGATAAGGATTATCACTAGACAATATGACTGATTATCATTTCATGTTTATTTTTGAAACTATAATATATACAGTATATACTTGCTTCTATATGACATGTAATGCAAATAACAGAAATAAAAAAATAAGTAATAAAAAATATAGAATCATAGGAGCTAGATAACTACAATTTCTATCACATCACAAATGTATAATAATAATGACAGACGCCTGTCAAAGCGTAGCGCTAATGAGTCGTCGTCGAAAAAACTTTGATATCCACAAAAAAGTGCATCCTTTTTTATTTCGATAAATATTGTTTTGATATGCCTATAACTGGATGGCAGTAGATTTTCTATCGTTTCCTCAATTGTTTCTGATTCGACCGTCCTTATTATACCCGAGGTTATCCTAATTCAAATTATACGCGTTAATAAACGTTTTATTTTCCAAAATATTTCATGATTCTGGAAGTCAAGAAATATTAATAATAATAACATCAGTTTATTCAAAAACGTTTACAAAATATACATTGGAACATACAGATAGGTATTTTGAATAAACTGGAGAAAACCTTAAGAAGTGGACGTTGTAGTAAGGATAAGAAACAAATGTACATAGGTCAATGAATATTTAACAATATCAAATTATCATATGGGAAAAATTGTCTCATTAGGAAATGAGACATCATGTATATAATTCATATATAGTGTACTGAGCATTTAATTCAATTCGCATAATTATTTATATTCATATATACTTATTCACAATTATTATTTATATGTTTCTAATTTTATTATTGAATGTTAATTTTGAGAACCTCACCGTAACATTGCCGTATATTCTTGAATTTCTACGTATATTGGAGCAGTCTGAAATGATATGAAATAATGATGATATCCCACTGAAATTATGAAATTTCAATTTTTTACACATGCCAGACCCTCGTAAACATTGCAAATAAGGCATGTATCTTTCATCTCCTTTCATAAATGGTAATTCCTATAAATTCTGAGAGCGCCACTCTCTGGACATAAATTGTTGACATGCGAGGGTTTCGTAATCCATAAATTTTTATGTTCATTTTTCATTTTGAGTGAATGAAAAAATCAGTACATATTTGTGAAGATCTAATCTATGTTCCTGTCGTCTCACTTTTTCGAAATTTGATTCAGTTTTTTCTTAAGAAAAAAAATCGCAAAATAACGTGTTTTTTTGATGATTTTCAAATTTTTTTTCTCAAGAACCAAATCAAATTTTGAAGAAGTAAGACGGCAGAAACATTTATAAAATCATGAATATGTACAATTTTTTTTCATCCACTCAAAATGGAAAATGACCGTGAAAAGTTAGGGACTACGAAACCCTTGCATTATTGCTTTATATCATAGTACAACTTCCTCTTAACAGAAAAGCATTGAAAAGGAATGTTCTCAGATAAATTATGTACGTAAAAAAATGGATATAAACATATGTGAAGGAATACATCGAGACTTCGCATTCTCTATTTGATGAAAATATCAATTGTTACGCCTATGAAACTCTAATTCGAACATGTAAACAAATGGTACTTACGAATGGAAGGTGAAATTTGGGTATTAAAACTTTGTTTTTTCGCAAATCCAGCAGTGTAACACCATTATTAGTCTCTGTCTATCAACTTTTCACAAAAAAAATAAGAAAATTCACTCAAAAACAACGAAAACAATTAACTTCCTCAAACACATAAACATAAACGAACAACGCCGAACTCGTCGAAAGCACGAAACATCACGAAACGAGCCTGTTTTGCAGCGGCGTTGTCGGTTGTGTATAATCTCGGTAACCTTTACAGAATAACTTTGAAATAATGTATAACGACAGTTTTATAATATTTGATTGTGACTATCTATGGACATATGATTTATTCCTTGAGTTCTATGAATTGGATCATAATGAACATCTAATTGAATAGATGATTACAAAAGAGGTAAGTACAAATACTTGAGAGGATTAGACTGAGGTTAGGAATTATTAGCGACAGGACGTGACAACCTCCAATTCAACATCAGGTGGTATACTGTGACCGTATTCTCTGACTTCACATTACGATGTAAATAAATGGGTCCTTCTTTGTTTATACGTCCATGTGTAGTAAGGACAAATCAGATGATTTGCCCCAAAATGTCACTGCATTCAAAGAATTTTTCTACAAACGCTTGACAAAGTAGCCTTCGACGGTATCAAATTCCAACACAAACTTGACATTTTCCCAAAAATGTCATTCTTTGACAGCATATGCGCTCATGAGCTGGAATATTGAAAAAACGCTCGCACATCGCTGTAACCTATACTCATCTATTCTTGAAAACCCCAAATTCTTTCATGGCGGAAAATAGTGACAGTGGATTATCAAACACACCTCCTGATATAGCAGAAAGTGCAAAAGTTGGAATTTCTTACCGGAGAAATCAAGGAAGAAATATGAATCACAATATGATACATTCATAAATTGGTGTCGCTCCAAGAAGATGAATAAGTATTCAGAAAACGTTTTACTGGCTTATTTTGGTTAAAAATCGAAGACTTTGAAGTCATCAACATGCTGGAATGTTAGAAATAATATCGAAATGAATAATTATCCGAAATTTATCGCATTTCTCGAGAAACAATCTATTGGATATAAAGCGAAAAAATCCAAAACATTCACCGCTGAAGATGTATACCAACAAATTTCTACAAGAAGCTTCCGATGAAGAATATCTGTTGAAAAAGGTAAATTATACTTTATATTTAAACCCTTTGTTATAATAATAATAATAATAATAAATTTATTCAATAAGCGTTAATACAATAATCAATATAAGTTAGTGTTATACATTTACCGCTTATTAAATAGGTGTGTATTCATGCCAGCATGCCAAAGACATGGTGGAATGATTTTCAATGCACCCTGTGAAAAAAAAAGTGTACTCTCGTGAGAGCTTATTAATATAATATATGTGTAATGACCATATTACTTAATATAATTAACCTAAATAAGTCTTAATTCGTTGATATCAGGATAGGTAATATATAAATGGTATAACATAAGTACAATCTGGTAACATAGAGTATGGCTAGCATGGTAGGTGAAACTTCACATCTCTCACTAATTACAAGTTTTAAAATTATGTTTTTTTTAAGTATCATATTTTGAAATTGATATTTATTGATTCATCAAGTAATTTATTTTTCAATGCATTTCTAAGATTTTTTATCGACATTTTTTTAACATTCGAAGGAATCATATTCAATATTTTACAAATCATATACGAGAATGAACCTTTAAAGAGTGTTGTAGAGTGTGAGGGAATTGTGAGTATATCTTTCCTCCTGATATTCAAATTGTGAATATCACTCCTGAATCTCACTTTCTCATACAGATAGGCTGGAGTCTTGTTATTGATTATTTTTAGATACCATAGACTAGCATTAAGAAATCGCCTTTGTCGTACAGTCAACCACTTTAACTCTTTCCTCTTTCTGGATACTCTTTCTCGCCGTTTTAAGTTATAAACAATTCTCACACATACATTTTGAATACGTTGCAACCGTTGACTGTCATGTTCTGTGATGCGTGGGCCATAGATTGGGTCACAGTAGTTCATGTGCGAAAATACAAGGGATTCACATAAAACTTTCTTTGTTCTATGGTCAAGTATATTTCTATTGTTATATATGAGTTTTATATTTGTGACTGATTTTTTTATTATTTGGTTAACATGTTTCTCAAATTTTAGCTGGTCATCCAGGTAGAGACCTAAATTTTTTGCACAGGAAACTAAGCTCAATGGTTCTGTGTTTATCACAATATTAACAATTTCTTTACATCATCAGAAACACTGTGTATCTTTATTTTATTGCATCATTGAGTTATATTCAATTCGATTGCAGAATTTATTGTACTATAGCTGAGAGGTCAGGTTGCCGCCGGTGGTCCGGGTTCAATTCTCGGTTGGCCCGACATTTTTTTTTGTGGCTTGTCATTTATCTTAAGAGTTTTCGTTTTGTTTTCGTTGGACATATGGGATAATGGATAAGAACTATTTGAATCGCTCATACTTTTAAGGCAGCAATTTCCAAAAGCTGCGTTTGTAGAAGAAATCTTGTGTGTATTTCGAGCACAAAATGTCATTGCCGCTCTCCACTTTGCATCGCGCGGTAACTTTCTTTGTCGAGCGGCAATCTATCACTTTGCGC